AAAGGACGATTTTGTTTATATTTGAAAACATCGTCCGAGTAAATGGCCAATATCTATACAATAATACTATGTAAAGGCATACAAGGGACTGCTGCATATAGTTCGTAAAGTGTTGGTATTCTGATATTTACACTGAATGTTGTAGGTTTTCTTGCGAATCTTGTAAATATACGGTAGTTCATTGCTTACGCGTTGTCATTGTCTATTAACAGAGATACACCGACGTACTTTGCCGCACTTCGTCGTAAGGTGGTGGCGCCTCACCCGGTGGTGGATTCAAGTTGGTCGGAGTAAGATCAAGGAAATGCGTGATAGGTTCACGCGATCGTCTGTGCGAGTTGCGAGCTGCATTGCCTTCGGGGCGGTATTGCGACTCATTTTGTTGGGAAGAGTCAAAACTGTTGTTGCAATGGCCAGACATTGGCGGCGTGGTCACTGCATCTATTGGGCTAGCGTAGGTTGGCGACATTGCGCGACGTCCTTTAGATTTCCGACCTGGTTGCGATATGCGACGTGTCCTCGAGCTATGTACGTGTCCCCGAGGTGTTCTTGGTGAGGGCACAATTGTGGTGTTCCGACTACTTTCAGAAGCAGTTCGATTTGTTCCTGGATTGTCCGCTGGCGAGGTTTGTCGGTACATCCGGGGATTATTTGATGGCAAAACAAAACAATTATTCATTGAAATACGCGGCGTTGATGAGCTTGAATTGTCATGTGTATTGTGGTTCTTCATTTGACCATGCAAGGGAGACGTATGCGAGCTTAATGGAGAGTGAGTCGGGGAATCATAAACTGGCTCCACCGCCCGATTAGAGTTTTGACCTTGCAACGGTCTATCAACAGGCGGGTCTTTCAATGGCGAGACCGGGCCTGGTTTCCTCTGGTCTTGATTTGGTATCGCCGGTAAATCTATCGGCGAGTCGTGCACCGGTGACGCTAACAAATCAGTTCGAAACACATGCATTTGATGCGGAAGGTCGAGAGGCGTATGGTGCTCTGGCGAATCCTGAATCAATGTCTCAGTGGGTATAGTTGGCAAATCAGCAGAGGCATCTCGCACTGTCCTCACATTGGCGATAAGATCATTAGCTGCCGTTGCAAGATCGGGCGGGGGCTCAGGCACTGTTATCTGCATCGGCGATGGAAGATCAATCGGGGAGGCATATATCGGCGATTCTGACCGTGGTGTAGATTCTGCTTTGTTATTACGGTAAGACACTGTGGACTGCTGTAAATCGGAGGGTAACGTGACACCATTTTGTTCATCTGTTAACCTGGTATGTGGAAACAAAAACAAAGTTTATAATTTCTACGAAACTGATACGGCAAGACTATTATATAAAGGCAGGCAGATGAATCATCCATAATTAGCCAAGAAACGTGGGTGTATAAATTACCATTGATTAAACTAGAAACGCAGGTACATTAATTAGCCTAGAAATGTACGCAAACAAATCAACCACAATTAGCGTTATATAATTATAAAGGCGCATGCATCGGGTTTCACGAAGGCTTGAATTGATTTTATATAAAATATTTATAAATTTCAAATAGCATCCCTAATTAACACTTATAGTAATATAATATAATGGATGCATGACCAGAAAAGTATTTTGACTTACCCTAGGTTACCAGTATTATATGCAGTGAACACTGGGGGCGGTGCTCCGTTCACATTCAGCGAGACTGGTTTGACAATTCGTTTGCGATATAATACGACCACCAACACGACAACTGTAACCACCAAAACTAAGCCACCAAGTGCCCCTCCGATTATCAGGGCCGCATCATCTACAGGAGAAAAGACATAATCCTACATTTACAATTTTGACAGTCAGTACAACCTCCTTTAAACATACTACTAGTCAGGCCAATCTGTCGTCCACACTGTCAGTCAGTATAACATCTGTCAACGACACTACCAATCAGGTCACCCACATTGCCACACATTTCAACCCAATTACCCACACTATCACTAAGTTCAACCTCTTAGAACCACACTGCCAGTCAGTCTAAATTCTGTCATCCACCGTGACACTGCATGTAAATTCTCAGCCCATGTCACCCACATTGCCACACAGTTCAACCATGTTAACCAAACTGTCACTTATTACTCTAATTGTTCACGCCCGTTAACCCCGCCAGCCACTGTCAGCTAGTCCAGTCAATTCTAGTTACTCCGACTAAAGGGATTCACAAATATTGTTGACATTCTTAGCCATGTATGTTTGACATTGGTGAATGATAAAATGTCTTAAATCACACAATAAAACGAGTATTTATAACAGTTTGAGCTGATTTAGTAATAATATTTTTTTTAAATCCAGTTAAAGTCACTCCTAGACGCATTATAAATGAGAAATGACAATCGAAGGTTTGCTTATGTATACTGCCCTCACTGGCACTGTGGAGAAGTTTTCGCATAATTCGTTTTATGAAGTTTGCTGGTTGTGTCTGTTATCACGAGTAACGGGCATATACGCAATGTACGTCGAAACAAAAATAAAAAAAACACACACACATTTAGTTCATAATCATGACTGTGCTATCAGGAACAGTAATTCAGCGAAGTAAGGAAGTTGTTGCTTCCTACCAACCAACCAGCACATTGCTTATGAAACGGCCTCGCTTGTTGTTCAGCTTCAGCATCCGAGCAACGCCGCTTTGTAAGCGATGCGCTGATTGGCCATACATGCGCACGAGTCGCTGATAATTTTCAATTACCGGGTTACTTTAATGTCAGAAATACACATAAATATTTCAAAATGTTATGAACTTGATCGTTGTGATATTACAATGATTACATCTTTGTTTCAAAGTTGTAATAAACCGATGTTCATTTGTTTTCGAAAACTGGATGCCGGCTGACTGTGTCAATTACAGGGACATTCGAAGGGTAACCAGTTTATTTAAAAACAACAGCCACAATAGCAATATTAAAAAAAAAATCAGAATATAACCAGTTATATTGACGAAGCAGGGCAAATAATTATACGCGACTGAAATCGTACGTACGTCCAATATCATTGGCGCAGAGAGCAAATTGGTTAAAATGTATAGACATTTCTTGCCAGGGGTGACAGATGTAATCAATGGCTCAAATTGTCCATTCCATTGTAAGATTATAAAAATCACATACCCTTCAGCCCACATGCCTCTTCATCAGTGTTATCGCCACAATTATCATTTCCATCGCAGCGAAGCGATCCAGCTATACACCGATTGTTGTCGCATTTGAAATCACTGGCATACGTACAATTGCCATGGGTTCCTGAATAGAAATGAAAAATTACACAAACGTTAAAAAATATTGTTATACTCCAGGGAGATGCAGTCGCCGAGTTCGTAAATCAGGAAATGACGACATTACGGAGTGTAAAGAACTGATATAAACGGATTCCTGACAATTGTTGAGCGCAATGAACCGTTGATGATCGTCTGCAGCTGCATATGAAGTGATGTGGAAAGGAAACAAGGACTGACAACTAGGCTGGGAACAGATCACATGGCAGTCAGGTCACGGCAATATATAAATAACATTTTGAGCACATTCACACCCGAATAAATAGGCCAATCGCAGTCCCTAGTGGGTGTAGGGGCAGCCTTTTATTAATTAAACGACGGAACTCGGGCGGAGCATTGCATTCATATCGCTCCGTGCAAATTAGTTCATGCCCAGTGGCATCAAAGTCGAAAGATACCGATTACCGGTAGCATAGTGGTTGTTTAACCCATGATACATGGGCCTCGTATTCAAACCCCCCGTGTCGTTGACCACCGACAAGATCGATTCCCCTGGAGAATGTACGAATCGTGTCACACAATCGGACAAATCTCAGTGGTTGTGGTTCGCGCAAGCAAGGCCGGTACGACTTTGGTTAACAGGCGATTTTATTTGACTATAGCGCATACACCCCCGGAAAATCAAACGGCAAACAAACTTTTTGAAAGGAAAGGGAATCTATTATTTCAAAGGCTGCAACGCACTTACCGGCATAGTAATACAGGGAATACACCGCCTTGAATCCCCTGTACCTGCGTGGATGGGTGGGTTCTGTAAACCGAGTGGAAATCTCGAACGCCCCCGACGTGATGTACATATCAGCCGTGTCGTTGGGATGGCATATTGTATACTGACCAACACTGGAGCGAGACAAGATTATGTAATCTCCTCCCAGACAGTCTGAAAAACAAATATAATGTATTTTCGAACATAAATAGATAAATAATAAAGCCCGCCTGGTTAATAAATATTATTGGGTACATTTTGCCGCTGAGATTCATGGGTAACAAAGGGAGAAGAAATGTGTTACGTTATTCTTACACGACCAGTGAATACACTTTTTCACACCCTCTGTCCGATGCAACGTGTACAAACAAATATGTGTCATCTACGCGTGCTATGTGTTATAGTGTGGATAACAGTACTTACCATGGTCGTTTACAGTGTACATATCAATATCCACAAATTTCAGATAGATGTTGGCGTAATATGCAAACGTGTTGATGGCCAGTGAGCACGGTGGTGACGACTGGTAATCATCCGGATACGTATCATGCGAATATATCACTCCGCCAAGGGATGTGGCAAGGTTATTGGTACAAACTGAAACAAATATATAATTATAATAACCATGACGGCCAGCGGTAGATTTTTTTTTCGCTCGAGGCAGTAGGCAGACTGAAGCTAAATAATGCGCGAATTACCATCCTTGGGTCGAATAACCTATAGTTTTGGCAAAGGATTCATTCGTGTAAATCGGATTCGGATTCATTCGCGTAATTCGGGATCGGATTCATTTGTGCAATTCCACACGCATGTGAATTTGTATGCAAAGTGTGAACCCGTATATTTACAAAGAAAAAATCAAATGCGTAATATAAACGGCAATGCATGACCTACTTTGTCGTTAATATGTAAACAGTAAACCGGCCACTAAATCGGCCTAATTCAAGCGTATGGAATCAGTGCCGTGTGTAAGTCTAATGTAGCAGCAATATTTGAGCCATAGGCTTGTCAGGCATCAAATCTTCCCAAAACCTGACATTCACCGTATTTTGCAGTATTTTCTATTCCGTATTTTGTGTGTCTAACAATAATACCAGTGTATTGATTGATTGATTGATTGACAATATAACTGTTATAATTTATAGCTAATAAGACAAGATGTAAGTACAACTATTCATTTGTAAGAATTGTATAAACACAATAAAGTAAGTTTCACTAATCACGTATGGTGGGTAAGCAATATTTCATCAACTACTATCCCACTGTAAATCGAAAATTAATATAACCTGTTGTCGGTTTTACGGGTGGAAACCAAACACTTTTGCCGCGGCAAATTATTGGTACATTTCCCTTTAACACCCGTGATATTCTAACAGAAAGCGTGCGCTGATAACCGTATCGACCATAAACACAGTAATACGTGCAGCATGGATGGACATACGACTACAGACTACTCGGCGTTTGAACATGCAACTCGATATAACTTGACACGCCCTTACAACGTGTAGCATTACCTGAGAAACCTTTGGGAGGCTGCGAAGTGTAAACTGCTTGAAATCCACGGCTTCCGACCGTTCCATCGGTGTGGAAATAAATAAGCACGTGTGACCAGTTTGACGTGATGAGAGGCGGTAACGTGGAACCGGTATAGTTACCGAGAAGCAACGACGAAGTGCTGCTCCCATCATAAATACAGATGTAATCGCAGCACGACTCCGTGTCAAAAATATTGAACTGTACCTGGAACATGAGGCAAATATGTACGCTATTAGTATGCACCTAATCTTTATCGCTTAGTCACAGTCCCGCTGGGTTTAGTATTTGCTGGTATTCGCAACGCAACTTGAATGAACGTTATCAAAAATGGGCACTGGAAGGCCCAACAATATATATATACATGTCCCACCAGAATATAAACTTTTGCGGTGTGCTGACAAATCAAATTACTGGCAAGTATATCGTAGCGTTTATTAATAACGTCTACAACAATATGGACTTACCTGGATTTTGTTTCCAGCAGTCACAGTTATATAATAATAACAATCAAGGAAAGTACTATAATGTTCTGGATAGTTTTGGGATGTAAAAATTCCCCAGTCTGTTGTGAATGTTCCGCCACAGTGACTACCAGTATTGTTCGTCATTAGTACGGTTTTAAATTTGGCGTAGAACCCCTGTCCTGCTCCGTCCGCATTGGAATGGAAATACACTGTCAGAGACGAACCTGATGAAAAAGGCACTAATGGCAAACCGGATCCGGAATAGGAATTCAGTATCGTCGTGGAGGAAGTCGACGACCCATCAAAGACACTGACGAAATCGTGTTCATATTCGGTGTTGAAAAGAATGAATTCCAGCTGCGGGAAGAAATTTAAATGAGTATAATTGTAGATATTTAAATGCCAGTGAGTGCTACATTATAATGGCATCACCATGTATCGCAGGGGCACGTGACCTCAACCTGTGGCAAAGCGAGACTGACGGCATTAGTTGTATTTGTGGATAACCAGCCTCTAGACTAAGCGCAACGCCCTCAGCGGGGTATACGTGTGCATATACCTTTATACTGGTACTAGCACTGGCCTCAGACTGTATTACTAGTCTGAGCACTGGCTAACCGCGTGAGGTTGGTGATAACACGGAGCATGGGGTACATGTTTACGTCCGTGTACGGACCAACAAACCCATAGTCAACAACGAAGGCATTGTGGTTAAATATTTTAGAGTAACTCGTAATTTGTAATTCACGTGTACATGTATTATTTTAGGCTTGAGTGGGAAACAAACATCACAGTTTTATGACAGCATAAATATTTATTGTGTTAGTTGTAGCACTAATCTAGGACGTTCAGCAGATCGTTGCAAAAAACGGTCCGACCTATTGCGATATGAAGGTGGTTATGACATACGTAGCAATGATTTTTGGGAACGACTTGTTTTACCTGTTGCATATATATCACAGTTACCCGATGCTGGCTCACACTAATACTTCCACCACATCGGGCTAACGCATGTTAGAATGTTTGGGGCAAACAGTCAGCTACACTTTAGAGCCTGTCACGAAAATTGGCAAGTAATATGGTGTCCATGCAAGTACCACGAATACAAGTAATTTGCATACGTGAATAAGAACCAGATTGTTATCTATTTAGCAAATGAAAAACAGAGCCGACCTTGGCCTTGGTTGGTGGGGAAAAAACAAACGTACCTCCTTCATTTGTGTCTTTAAATTTACTTTAAACAAGTTAATCACATATACATGTGATAAAACGATATGCTGAAAATCTCACCTGTATTAACAGACCATCAGATACCCGGATGTAGTAATAACAATCTTGGTTTCCCGGATAATGATCTGGGTAGTTTGGTGTTGCAATGACGCCCATATCCGAATTGAACGTACCGCCGCAGTCCCCCACGTTGGTCGTTATGACTGCCCTGTAGGTGGCGTTGAATCCTTGGCGTTCGATTATCCCGTCTGAGTGGAAGTATACGGTGATCGTATTCCCAGACGATATGGGGACTGACGGCGGACTGTTTCCCGAATAAAAACCAAGATGACTGGACGCAGGGGACGGACCATCGTAGATTTCCACGTAGTCGTGAATGGATTCGGTACTAAATGTAGTAAAAACAAGCTGTGAACAAAATGGAAGAAAACTATTGGAAATATTCGTTCGTGAACGCAAGACTAAAATTAAAATAATTTGCTCGTGAGATTTATAAAATTACGTAGTAACAAGGCCCGCCTAAAGGTTCGCACTTGTATGTTGATACATTACATTTAGATTACAGCTGTAAAAAGGAGGTGTTACCATAGTGACACAAAGTGAGATTTGTTTTGTCGGACATTACTCGTCTTATGTAAACATACACTATATGTACAGGGCATTTATTTTAAACACTGTTTATTTCAAACATAGTTGTACGTAATCCCTACAAGAGCCAAGCCACCTTGAGTTTACGTTGGTGTGTATATGTTGTTTATTTTAGTAGCAACTTATCTCGATCAAGGTTGCAAAGCAATAATTTCCTGACCCGTCTAATCATCTGTCGATCGATATAAATACTCGAGACAAACGTGTATGACTTTGAATGCTCTGAGATCTCGCTCTCTATATAATGAGTACATCGTGATCTGATGAAGTTAATTCGCATGAATCAATCGTTCATATCAAATGTATCCCCTCACTCGTAAACCATTTTGAATTTGTGAGCAGAAGCGAAGTTTATTCAACGCTTTGTGCAGTAGTTGATGTAATATACCGTGTATTTATTTTTATGATCGAAGCATATGCTTCATTCTACATAAACGAAATCGTTTTTATACGGTTTCATTGTCGACGGCGCAAAAACATGGAAAAAGCTCGGGGAAACATGAAACAACAAAAGATGTGATGTTTCCGTTAGCCGCTTGCTTCACGCTTGTTATACACTTGCCACTAACACCGGATGGCATGCCATTATTTGCAATTACACCACCTATATAAAGAATGTCGTGCGAACAAGTTCAATGCAAGGTTTTGCTGAAAAGTAATACACGTACATATACATATTACGGACTACAAACCGACCGACCACTACTCTATAGTAATGACCAAGTTTAGCGTTAATAAGTAATCGATAAATTAATCAATTAACACTCCTGCCATATTTCTTCATTTTCAATAAACTGAGATCTAAACGACGCGCATGTTAATGAAATGCTTGACGTCAGACCAGCTCATTTGCATGCGAGTTCCCGGTGACGGCGGCCATATTGTTCTAACTGAAAAAAATAGTACATCTTGATAACAGTCGTGCACTACTCGTAAATGTAACACATCACTGCTAAGTTGGATCACAATTTGTTAAGGGGCTGTGTTTGGATTTACACAAGAGCTAGTCAAACAGTAAAACATTTTAAACTTGTTTATCGATACGCCCTTATTTTGTACTGCCGCCTTTCAATTTTTAACAACCTGGCACTAGCATTTATCGTTATATACACCTTTGTTGTGCGGTAGGGTTATTTATCGTCACTGGGTTCGTGAAAATCGTTAAATCGCCAGAAAACTGTTCATTTACAGTGTCCGGACGAGTCAACCCCATGAAATGTATTCAATGTTTTGGATTGCCCCACGTCTGTGAAATAATCTCGGCTAGTGGTTTTGCCCCCTTCTATATATTCCACTGCACGCGTACCCGGGGATCCGGGATGTTGATCACAGTTTTGAGCTTAACCCAAGTTGAACACGGATCTAACAATCATGCGTTCGGTGCAACGACCACGACGTAACGGCGACAGGTCCAATAAAAAAAAACTTGATTCGCAATGAATTCAAACAAATCCCGCTATCGAACAAAAATGCCACTACATTGTGTTCATACCGGTCACTTTGTGTTACAAATACAAAGAACACACTCAGTGTTTTCATGTAAACTAACATCAAAGCCATTTCTTATTTGCTTTTACCTAGGAATCCTACTCCACCCAAGGTGTAGCGTAACACGATAAGAAAATGAAAGGCTTTCTTAACAAACTTAACTCAAATTACCTGAACATACATTCCTTTGGACACTGTTATGAAATAATAACAGTCTTGATTGCTTGGGTAATAATTGGGAAATCCGGGCGAGGCGATGAATCCATAATCAGAAACAAAGTAACTATACGTAGTTGTGTTTACTTGTTGAAATGTCGCGTTAAATCCTTGGAACTCATTTGAACCGTCCGAGTGAAAATACACCGTGATGGTGGACCGTGTTGACACCGGTACTAACGGTATTTTTAGTCCGCTGTATGTACCCAGTAGTGAGGCAGCCGTCGACGTACCATCATATATACTGACATAGTCGTAGTTTTCTTCGGTGGCAAATTGTAAAAATTCAATCTGGCGAGGATAGTGAAAATAGTATGTGTTATAATTAGTGACGATAGTTGAGACATTTGGGATTTATGGTGAACATGGACAGAGGTCGCCATAGTCATGGTTCGAGGGACATGAGCGATGTTATTTTTTTAAACGATGAACTGTTGTGATTTCAACCATATCATCCACGTAACGTTTTCACGTCATTTCAACTAAGCAAAATAGTGTTCAAATTTTCAAAACACGATAACTGAAACAAAAGTACACCCATGCTATTGCAAGTCATATTATATTGTTACCGATATGACGTTTTGAGGGAGTATGGCAAAGAAGCGAATAGAATGAAGGTCTGAAGTTGGCATGTCCTACAACTCATATGCTACAACCCTGCAAGGGGAACCCTGTTTGGGGCAGAGACTAATATTGGGTTTCATGGAAAACTAAACAAAATGGCTGCCAATCGGTCATTCTGGGACAAATGTATTGAAGCTACCATGTCTGACTTAAGTGATGTTAGGACATACTAAGCGGCCGGTAGTTGGTACATTGTATCAAATCGGAAAATAAGTAGATGTGCAGACATGGTGATGTCTTGTCCATGGAGCATATCGGTGATGGACGTGGCATGAAATAAAGGACACTTGTTTTCGGACGACGTCCACACGGACACAAACATTATTTTTTATTCGGCAACCTGTTGATTGATGTCCGATAGACAAAGGGACAAACTGCCGTGAATTATTGATGTGAATGAGTAAGGAGATCAGAATGCGTGTGAAAGAAAACTACGTTGATCGGGTACTGTAGAACATTATTTAAGCGTTTACCTGAATCACCGCACTGGCAACTGACGCTGTTATGGTATAATAGCAGTCCTGATTGCTTGGATAGAAGCCAGGGAAGTTAGGAGATGAGAACACACCCTCGCTGCCGTAAAACGTGCCTACACATGCGACATTGGGTCTTGCCACGGCTTTAAAAGTAGCCTCGAATCCTTGAAGTTGATTTTCACCGTCCGAGTGGAAATAAACCGTGATACTCGCCGTTGCGCCGGACGACGTGATAATAGGAGGGATAGTCGAACCGGAGTATGATCCAATGCGCCGATAACTTTCAGACGGGCCGTCATAAATATCAACATAATCGTTGAATTCCTCCGTGTTAAAAAAGTAAAATACCAGCTATAAACAATAAGAACAAATCAATGTAATAGCGTCATTTGCCTGTAATAGTATACATAATAAAGTAGATATTTAATATAATATCGAATGTGTGTGCGCTTCAACCTGCAACTACACCATATATTGCCCCAGATGGCACCGTAACAACCACGGTCGTTTGGGGTCGCCATTGGGATTTCCATTTTATATTGCACGTTTCTACACACTACATATTTATAGTTTAGTGAGAATCACCGCTGAGTGAGATGCGTGAACAGATTAGATGTAAATCCGAAGAACTGCAAAGCAAATCCCCGCTCGTCAGAACAAACGGATGATACCCCCCGCTACATATGTAACATATTACAAAGCCCTAACCCTAGCGACATTCATAACGTAAATACTACTGGTATTCATATGCAGATGTTTTGTTTTGGTATAATATTTGCGACTACTACAATAATATAATAACAATCAAACAGATAGTTTTAGAGTATATTTTCATCGGAAATTGTGTACATCATTCATATTCGATGTGAATACAGATAACCTAACATCGAAAAAGTTTTCGCACAAACGGTACCTGCAAACAAAATCATAACGCTTTTAAGATACTTGAATAATTGTCGATTGGAAAACATAAATACGCTAAATATTGAACATTTGCTGGCATTTTTTGTTTGCTTATTTTAAATTAAACTTGACACCCTCATTTAAAGTACATTTGACACTACCAAATGATCTGTATACATGTTTAGTAAACACAATGCAACACATGGTTATAACACGGGGTCATGTAGGAACTAATTTGGCTATCTGCAGTGAGGTACGTGCCCCCTCGTCGACTTATCCCTGGTTTAACTAATCGCTTAAATAGATGAACAGCCATTGTTGGTATCTATGTGTTTGCCTTTCATGTTATACCGATCATTTCTGAATGGCCAAATAAGTAAGTAAGTATTTTGTCAGCTGCAAATGTTCTGTAAACCGTTCTGATGACCATTGCTAAATACTATGAAAAAAGCGAATTTGTTTTCCGGTAGTGAATAATAAACTAGGGCACGTTTTTTTCCAGGGTGTAATCTGTCGAAAAAAATGCCCGAGTAACTGCATTCATGAGCAGTAGTACAGTCCGTGAACTGAAAACTAAACGGTCCATTATAACCGGCCAACTTCGACGGTTATCTCGTGTGTTGTAAGTCGACCGTTACTTATTGGAGGACAGAACGCGCCAGACAACGAATGTCGTCTGCCGACGGAAATCGACATTAGTACGCAGACACTCCTCAACTGTCTGACTAGTTTACAGTATAATCTTTTGTATGATTTCGTTAATTTCGTTTAAATCGTTCTATTGCGTGCCAGTTTATAGGAACGAAAAGAGCTACCCGATAGCGTACCATCAATCAACGAAGAAAGCGTAATAAAGAATTCTTCCATTATCAGTGGCATTACATGATGCCGACCGATATTTCTAAGTCGCGCGAATAACAAAATGGAAATTTTAGGGACGCTCTCAAGCATACGTGAAATTCACCCTCAAACCACCCTTCCTGTCTTGAACAGAATTGAACGAATATATGAATATATTAGCATAATTAATATTTTGAATTTTTGTGTATTATATCATATAGCTATTATTCATATAACGTATATTTATGAAAGTATTTTTGTATTTCTTTCATTTAAAAAAACTGTTTTACATTTCACAAAATGCCTGTTATGTTTCAGGAATCTGGGCATATTGACGACCCAGAACGGCTCATACACATATTGAACATTGTGGTTCTATTAAAAAAGTGGCAATTTCATACGAGGAAATATTTGGATACAGTCCTGCCTATTAATATACAAACAATAAGTAGCTTTTTCTAAATATTTTAGTGAGTCATTCAGAATGCAACGTCGCCATTGTCCCGGTTGACCTTTCCAAGCGCACAACGACAACTACAAGTGCAAACCGCACGTACAATACCCGATATTATTAACTGCGCCAATTTAATGTGTTTTGTAGATCATACACGTATATATCCGAGTCACCACTTCGGCATCTTTCAACCGAACGGACCAAGTATTGATATATCTCACATTCTGAAAAACAGAATAACAGTGTCTATAACAACATTTGAATCAAGCAGAGACTCGAATGTTGGTTTTCAATAAACTAATTACACGCCATGAATCATTTCCACAAAGACCAATGCATCGCTAGGGGTTAATAACGTTTAACTTGGCAACTACAAAACACGATTGTAACTTACAAAAGCATACACCTTATACAGTGAATACATTTATTTCAGCTCAATGTGGGGAATTTTTTTTTCTCTGTTATATTGCACTAATTCGTAAAAAAAATCGGTAATATCTGTGTAATCGTGAGAATTCAATAGACATTAACGCATTATGGCCGAGAGCAAGTCACTGCATTAGCAATTACTATTTATTCATTAGCTGTAGTTTAATTTCAATTTCAAGGTTAAGTTTCAAGATGCAACGGATTTTACAAATCGACAAACTTACGAACCACCACGAAATGCCGAGGGCAAAAAAGATAATATTTAGCAGACTGCTGCGAAACCATGATCACATAGTAGCTCCATAAAATAACAGGATAATGTGATGTGAATAGGTTAATTCTGATTACATATTGAAATAGTAACAACTAAATTTGAAAAGTAATACAGTCGCGACGCTCTATAATTCCTTTTGTGAAGCCATGTATCGCCGAGGGCTATGGACATTGACGTTTACTTCTGAACATGCATGGACTTACATACATTATAATGACATCGAACATACGAACCTAATCCACCCGTTCTTATGTTGTTATGGAAACAGTGGGTCAACATGCATTTGCTGTGTTATGAATCTTATTTAAATTCATATATATTTGGAATATGGATGACTAACTGAATAAAATGAAATATTCGTCGTAGCTCAACATTGTGTCGCGTAAAACGTGTAATAAACCACAATATATTCTAATACAACACCAACCGAACAATACGGGAACAACCACGGACAAATAATAATTTCGAGGATTTACAATATTGGAACTACAAAAATACCATCTAACGGAGGATTTGGGCAGCTGTTCACTCTGTTTAGCGTGATCCTTCTCATTTAAATTAATTTAAAATTGTGATTAGAACCAAATCACTGGAAACGCGACCTCTGAAAGTGATTGAAATTGAAAAAAACAAAACAAATAACCAATATCTACATCAAATTTGCAGACCAATATGTCAATAGCGACGTATGCACACTGGTCAAGACAAACTGTGATAATGAATACATTCACGTGTTCGTCCAATAAAACTCTCATAAACTCAATCAAATTTGTACCATCGCCATGACACGTGTCTGAATGATTGATATTAACAGTTGACTTCACCAATCAACACTACCAGTTCTCACTAAATCATGCTTCGATTAAAGTCCAAAATGTTACATTCATGTTCTCAAAATTATGGCGCACCTTAAACCAAACAGTTTAGAATAATACTCATCAACATACCTGAACGAACATGCCACTGGTAACAGATATATAATAGTAACAATCCTGGTTACTAGGGTAGTTACTGGGATAGTTGGGAGATTTAATTACCCCACTATCCCTATTATATGCTCCACAATAGCCGTCGATATCTCTTCTCCCTGTCAAAATAAAACCGAATTAATTCCCAGTTAGTCCTTTACGACCTACACATATACGTGAATGGTGAAAGCCTCGTGCGGACATAATTGTTTTTATATTGTGGGTCTATAGGCTTCGTATAGCTTTGCAAAAAAACGCATAATAGAGACCAGTCGAATGTGACGACCAACAATCGTAGGATTCAATACAGTACAAACAAAGAAACTTGAAACACCAACATGTATAAACTATCGATCTATTCGTTGACATTGCTACCTTTATTATGAAAGTGATACACTCACGTTTTGCTTACTTTAGAAGGGATTATCTATTGGAAATCCAAAAATGCTATGCGAAGTTAGGAATACAAGGGAAAAAACAACAGATGCAAATGTCGCGCCTATGAAAACAGACCTCTAAAAGCTACAATGATCGATTTCGTTGAGTTTAATGTCATAGTCCCTTCTTCTGGCGGTCAATGTTTCACAATGCTCTATAGTTCCTTACATATCAAGAAATATACATCGTTCGCGATCGATTTTTGTGGTAAGGGCCATGTTTTATTGAATACACGTTGCCGTATCAAAATGACTAACTGAGGGATTCTGGTATAGACACCGTGACGGTTACTAAAACGACGGTGGTGTAGGCTTTCCATCCCGGGGTAAATTATAAATGTCTGGCACGGGTGCTGATATTTATAGATTCGTCTGAAACTATAAGGCACTAGTATAATAATATCTTAACACGAAAATTCATACACTCTCAGTTAAACATGTCAAATTTCGATAGTATATCTCATACCTATATTTTTTCGAATGCGGTTAAAATGGGGTTTGTCCGTGATACTTTCTGTGTCGGTGCGTACGGGTAACAGAACCATGGTACACGCCAGCGCCGATAAAATACACCGCAACAGCTGTCTGCGACTCATGTTTCCACCGAGGTAAGGCTATCCCCCTTTTCTACATGTTCCGCCGACGAATGCCCATTGGAAATGATCTGTTGAGAAATGAAATGTAAAGAATGCAATTCACCGAGCTGTATCGAAACACAAGGCAAGATGAAGGGAGGTACACACATTCCATTGGTGACTTTTCCACCCGAGCGATTGGCAAGCAGGGTTAGATGTCGTTCGAATAATAGCCATTCAAATGCCAGGTGTAAAAAAAAACCTGTCTATATTTGTTCATATATATGAATTTGAATAATAACAGGGGGCACGGGGTTAAGAATTTCGTTATTGTCTCGATGCACGGTTGGTATTGCAATAACAATTCTAGCAACACTTGTATGGGTTAATACCTGATAGCGGATTCCCGAATTCTTACAATATTTACAATTGGGTACAGTATGATTTTAAAATGAACCTGTAATTATATAGTAATTATCAAATATAGAAAACAATAAAAATACACGTATATTATATATTGACATCTATGTATTTTTATGAGAGGGATATCCTCACGTGTATGCGTACGGCATTTGTAGTAGAAAGATCAGCATTGTGTAACATATGGACATAAATCCCAAACGAATGTTTTCTTGTAAATCAAAATCTCGTTGATACTGGTATGAACGATAACTTGCGGCCATTTTTCTCCAAGAGGGCGTAGACCACTGGATTGGGTTTTAGACATATCGGCCGCGATTCTGAGTGTTGAATTGGGAAAGCGCTATTGTATCTAGGCAGTGAAATGTTGAAACGACAAACAGGTCCGAGTAGCTCAATCGACGGTTGCTAGCAAATGTGTGTAATCTCCACGAATCAGTCATATACACGGTACAGTGTGTTGAAGGCATGAAAGCAGTATTTTTGTTTGGCGCCACTGAGTTCGATCCCAAACCCTCTGCAATCAGGTTACACTTACCGTACCCTCCTTAGACGGAGTCCACGATGTCGCCGTTTGAATATAGTTCAACATAAAATATCTGTCAACAACAAATGGTTCGGAATGTTCTACTACCCGTATGCAGACACATTATGCAAACATTGCAGTTTTTAATGATCTGGGACTGACACGTCTTAAAACTATTGTAATCAAGCTTTAAGACGTTCTTTCATATTCATTGCAACGATCAGTGATACAATAAATAGAAAGTAACCATTTATTGGCACCGTCTCACAATGTATTCAATTCGAGCAGCCTGTGGGTGGGAAGCACGCTACATTCAAAGGTGGTCCATTCTCATGTCAGGGCATTGTGCGCGGAGATTCGGTTATTAATTGGACCATGACCGCTACTAGATAGATAGCACCAGGGCCGTGGAGGATTTGAGAGTGATTATAATTTACCAGTAAAAGCAGAAGGGATTTTGAGCAACGTTCCCGTCGTTACAAGTGATCTCGCATCCCATATTGAAAAGATGTGCACTGGTACGGATCGGTACCGACATGGTAGAACGCCTTCTTATAGTTCACAACTACCCTTATATAACATAGGCAACACGGTCGATGTTAGGAATTACGTAAGACATTAACACTTCTCGTGGCGTCTGCGATCATTTGCTGTTAGCATGGAGCTACAAAAAGATAGCTCCATGCTGTAAGGGAGGGGTGGAGTAATCAGACTGCGCTGTCGGTACACACTTGAGGGGAAACTCATACGCCGCCACGTAGTTGGTGTTGTCTCAGTTGCCGAGAGTGATACTTCCCATTCACACAGTATACAGTCAGTTGAACTGTTCGCGACATTCGCACCTTCGCCTCACCATGGTTTGTTCTCTTATTAACCATGTCCCGCACGATACAATAGGCGACATGACTGGACGGACGTTCATACCTTTTGACTTATTGTTGCCTATGTACTGACTATACTACTTTTCATTGTGCCGTAACGAGAACCACAGACCTTTACGTAAACCACGCATGATTTTGACCGATTTTTAGCGATAGGCGTCTCCCAACATCCAGTCTACTCAAAATACTACAAGTCACAGATTGGTATTGCGTTCGGGTCTTCGTTTTAAACAGCAACGTATTCTCCGCAAAAAACAATCCGAGGACAATGTTGGTCGCGGCATTGACATCAACTTTCCCACGCATTTCATTTAACTACAACGTTGGTGCCATTTTGTACGACTTTTGCACAACATTACTAATACTACGTGTCTACGTACATACAAACTACATACCTTGTCACATACCAGCAGCGTATATTATAAAATCCGTCCAGAATCAACCGGAACGCCGGCGACTTTACCATTCGATGTTTACACCACTGTTTCTATTCGGTTTATTAATTTTGACCTCTGACCTCTTTGCAACTACCTTGCATGCATAATGATCCCTCCAGCAGACCGAGGTCACAAATCGATACGTCCACCTAACTTTAGAAACTGTACAAGTACTTAGATACGCTTTAATGATGTGGTCCGGGAGCGTTGTGTCCGACGTAAAATCTAAGACTCTACGTGTTTCATTTTCCACACGGGATTAATTCTGCTGTATTCGATTTGCGTGACTATCACTGAAGCAAACAGGTTGTCCAGTTCACAGCTGTCGTCATTCTGTTCATTTTCACTGATATTATATCCACGCCCTCATGCGGTGACTGTACGACGGGATTTACCTCTCACTCTCGGAATAAAAAAAAACATTACACACGTAAAACAAAATTAAAGACACTGTACTACACGCGGTGCTAGCTGCTGACCATGACAGTCCCGTTGCTCCTATACCGCAATCAAAATCCCACGTATAAAATCAATGACAAGTCCGATACTCATTACAGGAATAATATTTGATTAATATGGGATGAAATGACGTCACATAAATATTTATTGATAATTGAAAAACAAATCTCAGACACACAGAATTTAACGTTCTGCAATTTAATTAGTCAGGTGATCCAATTCAGTTTACGCACGTTCTTAATTTAAAACATGCAGTACTTTACTAACGCACGCCCTGCATTACTGACGCACGCCCTAAATTACTAAGGCACGCCCGAAGTACCAACGTACTCCCTGAATTATTAACGTAAGCCCTGATTTATTAACTCAAGCTTTGAATTACTAATGTAAGCCCTGAACTATCAACGCACGCCCCAAATTATTAATGTAAGCCCTGAAATACTAACGTACGCCCTGAATTATTAATGTAAACCCGAAATACTAACGTACGCCCTGCATTACTAACGTACACCCGAATTATTAATGCAGGCCCTGAATTATTAACGTACGGTCTGAATTACCAGGGTACGCCCTGAATTATTAACGTAAACCCGAATTACTCAGGGGCGGATCTAGGATTCTGGAATAGGGGGGGGGGGGTAAGTTGGCCGAAGGCAAAGTTCGCGAGCGCCGATGGCACGAAGCTCTGTTGCTTGTTAAAAATGGGGGGCAGCGGCCCCCTCGGCCCCCTCTAAATTCGCCAATGTTACTAATGAACGCCCTGAATTATTAACATAAGCCCTGATTTATTAACGTACGCCATGAATTACTAAAGCACGCCAGAATGTTACTTCTCCATACCTCCACATCTTTCACGCCATTCACCGGACACACTTCAAACTAAATAGTAATTTCAGCATATTTGCACCAAACCGGTCGGCACAATCTAGCACCACTAGGTTCAAGGACCCATCTAGAATTATAAATGCATATGCATAGACCAACATCGCATTCTGGAAGTATTATCAAATTAAACAAATAAATAACACATTAGTATGAAGGTCACATTCTCATTCATGTTCATTCGATGATGATTAATAGCAAACCTTCATTTCCGGTCGGAGTGACTGCAGCGATCATAGCCTCGTTTCAAGGATATTTAACAGGGCTTAATTGTAGATATACCATGGACTGATTTTCTCCTAATTTTACCCTTCGTTTATTTCTTGAGTGTCAGTGCATGCTAATACCCTGAGCAGACAAAACAGCCATTCAGTGCAAAACCATCCAATAGTGTACCCCCAATTCCATTGACTTTTCACTGAAGATTAAAGAACAAAAATCAAGATTGCAGCCTTATGCATGTACATCTATGCCCCAAAGTTGGAAGATTTTTGCATTGATGAATTATTTCTTACTATTGTTTCAAGTAATGATTCTTTCATTCTTAGCATTTTTGCAAAATTTATTTTCTATATTCGTGATATGTTTAAGTACTGTAAGTTTTATTTTCATGAATGTTGTTTTGTTTTGTTGTTGTTTTTATTGGACATTACTCAAGATTTCATTGGTACGTTCCAAATAAAATTCTACTATACATGTGGATAAGTGGAAATGTTGACAGATTTGTAACAATTGGAAAAGCACACAAAACATAGAGCTGTTACTAAAAAGGATTAAAATGGTAAGTATGCTGTCCCTCTCATTGTACTGAAGGTATTAAATATCGATGAACCGATAACTTCACTACTTTATAAGTAAGTTTTTTGAGGGGTTGTTTTTAGCTATCTGACTTGGTTAAATTAATTGCCCCAATAATTTGTTCAACATATTAGCTATTATGAACTTTACACGTAAACATTAAAATTATTGCTAAAAAAAAGTTAACTTTTAGTTTTTTACTTTATGTTGAAACGAATCGGCACATTTCGAGTTTAACAACCTTTACAGGTCAATCTATAGCACAGTATATCAAACAAGTGCTTTGAAATTAGACAACAAATACGGGATAAATATGCATATTTCTTTTAGCAAGAGTTTTATTGTTTTTTTTTCTATTAATATTCCGTTTTTTTTATTACTTCCTTATTAGTGTATTAATATTGAATACTTATACTATTATCTATAACCATTGTCACTCCCTCCGGGTAAGTGTTAATGAATAAATGAATGCATATATATAACAACTTAAACTGCTTTATAAGCTGACACATACTGCCAGCCTGTCTACTTTGAGGTGAGATAAACCTAATACAGTTGTAAATGGTACTCAAATTAAATTTAGGACGCCAATTCACTACAATATCCTCCGCCCTTCACGCCGGCGTAACGCAATCTTATCTGTCGTTACGCCGGAGCTGACACTCCTTCAAGGGGGTTTAAAGTCCGCCATTATAAACCCACTTTACGTCGACATATCGTGTTCACATACGCTTTTCTTGCGCCGACGTAACTACGTCGGGGTAAAAGAAAACGAAAAACAGATTTGAGCAAGGTGATTATTCTAAATGAGCTCTTGTCAACTAACACTTGATTATTAAGGTATCGTTAACCAGAAAAGTAACCAAGTTTGCTGCAATGGTTCTATTTATTCAAAACATATATGCCTTTGAAAACCGATATGTATTATTATCAAATACGTTACACACGGTTTTCGTATATATTCTCAGACAACGAGTTTAATTATGACTTGTCTTGTCATACGTATGGTATGTGAATATCTTGAACTGGGCAACGGTCACGTGATAAACAAGCCAAACTACTTAAAAATGTTTCTTAACAAAATGTATACGCTTTAAATTACTCGGTTCCGCGTTGATACCCTCTTTCCCCCAAGTGGGTACGATTCGATTGACCGAATTGCTAAATTGTGCGAAGAACCCGATATTTTCCCCTAGTCACGTCTCACTGATCTTTGAAAGCGACAAAACAATGATGTCTCACTAACAGTCGCCAATTTAGACTGGCAGGCAACGCCATCCATGCACGACTAATCACATTCCTCGTGTCTGCAACTTACGCTGTACGCGTTTTGTCAATCTGCACCAGAAAGTTTATGGGTATGCATTGGGACAGCAACAACACCGTGGAGGGGGTGGGAGGAGGTTCCAAGACGTTGACTACCACACAACAGTCACCTACCGTAATCATGTTCTGAATATATCAGCTTTTAAGGAAGTAAGATTTGAAACTAATTTCGGCCATGTTTCAAGCTTGCCCCGGGCATGTCTACCAGTAGCGGAGCATTCAATTGGAACACGACTCATAACATTTGTTGTATTTGAAAGCAGACCATATAAACACGCTTTAGTAACAACGCGTAGGTCTTGAAGTTATCTTACTTGAACACAGTCATCTGGTGCAGCGCATCAACTTGAGTATGTTTATTGTGAGTGTTGAGGTCGTGAGACCATCTTAGCACTTACTTGTGCAATCGCCATTCGTTAATTAAGGCAGTGATGGCAAAATAAAAAAAAAATATTTCCAATATATGATTACCAGATCTGTTCATATCCCAATGCTCTTTGCGCAACGACGATCACGCATAAATCACTCAATGGCGGCGAATACTCGTTGGACATCAAATAGTCTAATGGACCGTATCAACATTAAACCTGTTCAGATCTCAGGCTGGGTCGGTCATGTTATGACGTGTCTGAATACAATCACATGATTGGGTATGCGAAGTATGTTGATTTACGAAATATTCTTCCTGTAATATACAACAAAGAAACAACTTGGGCTTGAAATTTACTGACAACAAAGTGGTTCTGTGGACACTTTGCATATTGGGTGATCGTCAAATATAAAAACCATGGGACAAGCTAGAAACAAGTTTATACGACTACAACATCTACAGGATGTGTGATATTTAGGGGTGTGGGTGGCATTTGCAACTCCCCCAACGACGAACATATTGTATATCAAACATCAATCTTTCCCATAGTTCGTTGTGCATTTCGCAATAGAACCTCTGTCACCAATCTTTCCCATAGTTCGTTGCGCATTTCGCAATAGAACCTCTGTCACCACGTGCTCCGTCACAGGCAGCTTTTGTGGTCACCTCACTACGCATGGTGTTTAACCTGACAATGTACTGCAAAAATTCAATAATATATATGTGACAATTTATTTATTAACGTCTGACGAGTGTAATTTTTTTATTGGGGACTACGTTGTGCAAGATAATACTTAGGCTGGTGAAATAGCGCACGTGATCACTAGCAATGACGGGAAACAGCATTCTGTTGATGTATATAGTTTGCCTGTGCGTTTTAAAAAATACCTGCAATCTAAATTGTGCAGGTTAAAATTTAATTTAGACGTCAAAAACATCATTTAAAATAGTATAACCTAAGTGCACAGTGCCCCTCCGCCACGGTCTATTTTTTATTTTATTTTGTGGTGATTGGTATTATTTGATTCGTGAATTACTAGTATTTTCATTGTATGTATTAAAATTCTGGCATCATTGTCAGTAAAGTTCAATTGTGTTTGATGTATAATGTTAGATGCGTTTTACCGACGTCGTGCCAGCGACATGATGGGTTGGTAAGTAGACAGACTGTGTGGAGATATACCGACTCGGAAATAATTACATGCTGCGTAATTTATAACGGAGTAGAAACAAAGAGAATCATGGGTACCCGTACCTTATGGCATATACACACTAACCAATCATCCAACGGCACAGGTGGTCCACCCCAATCTTATTTATTTTATTTTATGCGTTTCATAAAGATAACACGTCTCCAATGTTGTGTAAACATTTCAAGAATATTCATGTACATGTGTTCAATTTACCTTGCAGCCTACGACACGGGAACTCGTACGAGACGTCACATTGAATATCTCGTTTCCCTTCATAAGACGGATGTGTATTTGCCACGTAGTGCAAACCACACTGCACATGTTGCGTACCTGATTAAAAGCATTATTTTTCTTATAATATATACCAAGAATGGGGATTAAATAAACACCACGACATATGGCTGGAACACACATAAACAGTTAATAACATTTGCAATTTTAAAAGGTATGTAATTTGTATTCCGAACCACGCAGTAGATGATTCATTGCGGCGTGGCCATTGCAAATATGTGTATCTATTAAAGTAATATTCACGGGTACATAAAAACCACGCACTCATTCTGTATACACTTATTTAGAAACTCCACTCTACTATGTGTCTTAATATTATTATTAGATCGATATCATATGGCGATTTAAAGATTTAATCCGCGTTGTCATGGCAATCAGAGTTGTATCAATTAGTCGTTAATACTATATCGACATATCTTCGAAACATAATTAGAGAAATGGTGACCTTTGCGTGAGTGTTTGTGAAACAGGTGGGGAACACTGCATTATCACAGTCTACTTTGTCTTTTTATCTTCCATGAATAAACATTGTTAAAGATATTGTTCACATGCGACGCACAGAGTAATGTCTTACAGACAACACCCCTACGCTTTAATTGACTTGTCCGCTTTTTACATTCACAGATAACGACCACACGTCGAACTTTAATCTGCATTGGATATAAAATGAAAGCTATTCAAATTCAATATCATGTTCACTCGGTCGACGGTGATTCATGGTTGAATGCAAGGTGTTTTGATGAGGTTCTTTTGATCTGGATTGCGGTTCCGCTATATATATGATTAATTTATCCGCCCTGTCAGCCATACGTCAAGGAAAACCGGGTTTTATTAATATAATATAAGATAAAATACTAAATACATACTGTGGTTCTAGACCACCTCCCATCGTTCAGATATCTAGCCAGGGAACCAAAAATCGATGAAAATATAACACACGATTCCGACTTTATTTGTTATTAGAATACTATATCTATACCATTTGATACTGTTAGTAATTGCTGCCTGTTTTACACAATTCATGACACAATTTAAGCATAGCGGTCTATATACGTTCTAGACACAGCTTACATTGCTTTCAACCATTGACTTCCTGTGCATCTCTTGTATTTATTATTATTTAAAAATTAACGTAAACGGAACAAGTCTCGTAGATTTGATGACGTGAATTACAATGAAAAAGAAAGGAAACGAATATTCGGTTGCTGATGGCGCTGGTTTCTCACGAGCTCTGTCAGATTATTTTTTTATGGCACTGGAAGAACAGCCAGGAGCGTTGCAATACCATTGTGATTATTGCGTCCTCGAAAGTAAGCGAAGAAATTCACTTTGCGTGTGTCAGCAAGTAAACGACAAAGCTGTGGTTATTTTAACCCCACTCAGAGCCGTGACAGTGATTGTCATCTGGGTACTTTGATAGCCCTCTAGCGGCTTTCTAGCGAAAACTGGGAACTCGAAAATTGGGAATTGGCCATATTCTCCAAGTATCGACCGAGTATGCCGTTGGTGGCACTCTCGCGAAGTCATGAATCAATGATTATGTACATTCGGTGTATGCCTGTCGATTTTTATTCCAAGACGTATCTTCTAAACGGTTTAGTTGGAAATATTACAATTTTTGGTACAAAGTTAATCCAAATTCAATTATGTAACATAAAGATTTATCTGTCAATCCCTTTAGATAAATCTTAAATCCAAATATGAAAATGACAGACACACACCACACACACACACATATATATATATA